CTTCTATCATTGACAGTCCCTCTAGGTTGTGGGCTGCTTGCCTGTGTTCCTGAGAAGCATCTACGGTACCAGTCTATAGAGTGTGTTTTCTTTAGTGAATTACCGGTATGTTTACCGGTAATAAACTTGCACTGTTTTATGTATATGTTTGATTACATACAGCCTTGTGACAGTTTTCCTGCATGTCATAAGTATTTGAATATGAATTAAAATGTTAAAATCAAATCTGATATTGTTTTACCTTTTATTTGGTGTGTGGAAGGTGTGCGGAAGAGGGGGTAGTCTTATACGGCGAGTATATAACAAACTCTGTATTTTGAGTGGAAATGTTAGGGGGTCGTCTTATACGCCGGCAAATACGGTACTCTCCCCTCGGCTGTCTGCTGGGGTGGGGCCGACAGCTACAGGTGACCAGGACTCGGCACGTGGGAAGCACAGGCAGGAAAGCGCCCCACCAGCCCACACATGACATCATGTCAAGCCCGTCCCTTTAACTAAAAAGCTTCCCCAAGGATTGAAATGTGCGCAGCAGAGGGAACGCGGGCTGAACTCGTAACAAGCCTGATTGGCCCGTCTCTGCACACCTGGCCCTGCCCACAGGCGCCTGGGCTCTGAGAAGCACCACCACTTGCAAACGAAATATCTGGTGCGGCCACACTCAGAACCATGAACAACCACGTGAGAAGTGAAATGCCAATAAGCTTCAAAGATTAACACAGGACATGAATGCAAAAACATGTGTCCTTAGGAACAAAACCAAAGGAAACCATGATGATGGTGGAAATGCTGGTCAGGGGGAGTCTAGAGGAGGCGTCACGAACAGCCAGGCCCGGCCGCTGCTGGGTGGTGATGCCAGCCCAGGCCGGGTCTTCAGGCCCCGCCACCAGGGTGCGTGGTTCCTGTGCTTGTCCACAGAACGTCTCGCAGCCACCTCTTCTGCATGCATGTACTCAAAGACCATCTGTCCATGGTTCTCGGAGCAGCCCTCAGAGAAGCGAGGCGGAGCGGGTGCTGTGTGATGGCCCACACGTGTCCAGAGGCTGCCGAGCCCGAGGTGACCCTGAGCTTAGCCCTGCACATGGGGCCTCTCCGTCATGTTAGCAGCTCATGGGCATGTCCCAACTCCAGGCGTGAGGGGGTGGGAGGGTGGGGGCAGCGGGCACTGGAGGGGAGGGGGCGGGGCTTGGAACTCAGTCAGGGGCTCCATGAAGTGAGGACCATCACTCAGTGTAATTCTAAGCAAGTCAGATTTTAAAGGTGGGCTTTTGAGTCTATGTTTATTCTCTAACACCTTAGTTCTTAAAAAGACAAGACACTGATTGAAAACCCCAACTTTGATACTGAGCAGTGCAAAGTGACACATGCGGAGATGGAGACACCATTAGAGCGAAAGGGAGAGGCTGAGTGGGGACAAGGTGCCCAGTCCCATGTGAGACAGACTGGAGGGGCAGCGAACAGTCTGAGATGTGGAACGGAGGCTGAACCCAACATGACTAGTCCTCACACCATCACCCATACAGCAGCCCCCCAACAATGGACCAGGGTCCTCACACCATCACCCGTACAGCAGCCCCCCCATTGACAGCAGCTCCCCCTCTCCCAGCAACGGATGTGCCCAGAAGAACAGTTTTCTGAGGGAGACGAGGAACCTCAGCTGCAGCCTTGAGAAACGCTGACTTAGGGGTTGGGAGGAAAACATCGCAGGGACTGGGCCAGGCCAGCGGAAAAGCCGTGAGGAAATCGAGGTGCTCAGGGAGGCAGTGCCCCGTCTGCACGCGATGGAGACGAGGTGGTGTGTGGCTTCGGGGAGCCTGTGACAAGCCACAGGACAGAGGCTCAGGTCCAGAGGCAAACCTCTGGCTCCGTCCCTGTGGGCTTCTCCTCAGATGTCGTTGTGGTCTGTACTGACTCCACGCTCCGCTCAGCCCGGGACGTGTGAGGACACACGCGTGTTTTAAAAGGTTTCCCATCAAACAGAAGCCCAAGCACCGGGAGAATGACTCTTGCCCAGAAGAGGACACTCACCATCACCGGGGAGGCACCAGCAAGCCTGGAGGCCAGCGCCTTCTCAGATGAAAATGGGTTTCCGTTTGAGGACCTGATGCTCCTGTGAGTCGGGAAGAATACATGTCCAAGGAGGGAGGTGGTCAGGCGCCCAGGAGCCGCTGACGCCGCACTGACACCAGCGCCCGTCCGCCTGGCCCACGACCCCCGGAGGAGCAGGTGTGAAGATGAGACTCGGGCTCCCCAGGGGGCTCTGGCTGTGGCCACACCAACACGGGGAGACACATGAGGGACTGGATGAGGCCGCGGGTCCCAGCCTGTTTCAGGACACGGACTAGCTGGCCTGCTCCGAGCACCACCTGCCACTGCTCAGTTCTGCGGCCACGCGGACCCTGGGGCAGCTCCAGAACTGGGGGGGATCGGCGCCGTTTCTAGCAGCCGAGGAAGGTCCCGGCCCAACGTGTCCTAGCCGGAGCCACCCCTCTCCTCCGCGGGCGGGCCCTTCCGATGATGGCTGCTCCCCTCACATCCCACACCTGCAGGCTGAGCCAGTCCTTCCAGGAACAGGATCAGCTGCAGGTAACACCGACAGCTCTGAGCGAGGCGCCTTCCCTTTTTGCTGTGGTGGTGGTTTTTCAGAAACGCCGAGTTGAGAAAGATTTGCTTCCCCCCATTTGTATCCTGAGGTAAGCTTGCCAGCTCCCGTGGGGGTGAGACATGACGGGAAAAGAAGATCCTGCACATTCAGACGCTCCACCAACCACTCCGCGCTGTCCCGTCCTGGGTAGGACTGCACGCAACACCCCGAGAGTCTTGGGAAAGACGTGTGGACGAGGAGTTCTAACTACTCACACATAACGTAGAGGAAAAGAGGTTTCAAATGGATTACTCGTTTTCAGGAAACTGGAGAAGCAAAATGTGCTTAAATTTATATTGAAAAAATATTGAGAATGCAGAGTACACCAGAATCTTATAGGGCCTCAGGATGAATCTAAACAAATGACTCCACAGACAGAAGGCATAGAAAGCTTAATGTGACTTGCAGTCATAAAAATAAACCAACTATAATAACTCTAAACCTAGATTCAAGTTACCTAAAAAATATATACAGCTCTGAAGGCAAAGGATAAAATAAAAATACTGGACCCCCTGAACAGCAAAATCATTGCCAAGTTTTCTTGCCGAGTCCTTCCGCTGACACGCCTCCTGTGGAGCTCACAGGCCAACTGCTCACTGCTTGTGTGCACAGGCGCGTTGTCCCTACAGTACACGGCACCTCAGAACCTGAGAACAGTGCCACTGACAGAACATCTGTGACCTGACACCACATGTCAATAATAGTATGAATCAAAACAAGTGGGTCACCATCTCGCTAGCACTACCTGTCAGCCGACCACTGTCCCTGGTCATGAGCGTGGCCAGCCCCTACAATGCCCACAGCTCCGCGTCTGCCTGCAGCTGCCACCGCAGACAGATGCCAGCTGCTGGTGTGCTGACGCACTAGTGCTCAGGGACTGGAGGTGGGAATGTTGATTTGGAGCACCTGCCATTCCCGTGGTGTAAATATTTCTGCCATGATTAGTTTCACGCCAGCCATGTGCTGAGGGAAGCGCTGCGAAAGATATGTCCAAGGTGGGCTTGAAATAATAAAAATACAAACTTCCTAGGGTTTTGGTGGAAATTAAATGAGTTCAACTATATGGCAAGTGAAGCACTCAATAAAGGCTAGCTGTCCTTCATCATCTTACTAGATTGTCAAAGTTTATGATGATTTTCTATTTTCGTAAATCTCAGGAATAAAATGTATCATAACTAAATAAATAAATTAACTCTTCCTGTATGCAATATAAATGCACTAAATAAATGAGCCTACATACAGAACTTTTCTCTTTTATCAACCTCTTATTAGGTGTATCGGTTAATAATGGCAGATTTTGTAATCAAAGAAAACATGATAATTTTAAGAGAAACATCAAAGATGCTCTATTCAAAGTAATGTCCGTCGCTAGCTACACATTCCCCCCATCTTTCAGGTAATTTGTGGATACCGTCCCAATAGAACTTTTCTTGTTTTGTGGCAAAACATTCAGATACCCAATTTTCCACTTCTTCGTATGTTTCAAAGTGCTGCTCAGCAAGTGCGTGTGCCATCGATCGGACCA